GTGTGCTGGAGTAAAGAGGGTAAACGGCGGAGCCAGGATTAGAAACCCAAGTCCGCCCCAACCCAGATCTGTGCTGGTTCCACGGGAGAATAACCCTGAGGACCGTGCAGTGATGCTGGAACATGCTTAAGCTAGAATGGTAAAAGGGAAAGCAGGACACAAAATGGTGGAGACTGTATAATTCCACTACCAACAGGGGCGCCTATAGGTCAGTTGAGCATCAGCCGGTTGATTTCAGCTCAGGACATGATCTCAGTTCGTGGGTTCAAGCCTGGCCTCAGGCTCTGCACTGACAGCGCAGAGCCTGCTTGGAATTCTCTCCCTCTGCCCCTTCCCTGCACTCTCTCTCTCAAACAAACAAACAAACAAATTCTGGGAGAGTCCGCAAAGAGAGTGTTTTTTCACTTTCCAAACTGTTCGTTCTTTTGCACTGTTTTTGCTAATTGTGACTAGAGGTTTGCCCCGAAACCTCCAGTGGGTCACCTCTGTCTCCCGCCTCCTGCTCTTCCCCACATACTCCTCGGTCCTTGCCCTCATCCCCTTCTCCATCTCCATGCACACACATGCTCACACATATCCCCCTTCACGCTGCACACTTGTGAGGCTAGAAGGGGGTCCCCGTGGACAGGACACCACAGGGAGGCACTGAGCCTGGCACTGGCTGGCAGTAAGACACCTCCCGAGCCTTTCTGGCCTCCAAGCCCCAGAAGCCACTTCCTGGCCACCTGACCCAAGCAGCGCTCCAGCCTCCACACATTGGCTCCTTTCTTGTCTCTTCCTTTCCGTCTTAGGACAAACCCAAAATTCCCCCCCGTTTTCTCGCACTAGCAATTTGAGCTAGTGTTGCCGAGCCCTTTGAGTCTTGAGCTCCGTCCCAGCAGCTTAGCATGGTATTTTTCCAAAGAGCGCTCCCCTTTGCCTGGGATGTGAATATCCCAACTTCGATCCCCACAAACATTTCACAAAATTGTATCCAGCCTCCTTCTTCAATCAGATTCAAACCGGCCTGGAGCCAGATCCTGTCTCTGACCCTTCCCCACTGAGGGGCCTTGGGCAAGTCACTGCAGCTCCCTGCACCTCCTTGTCCCGATCTGTGACACGGGGGTGATAACAGAGCCCATCGTACGTTGTGGTAAGGAGTGAGTGGGACAAAAAAGAGTGTGGACAGCATGCATGTAGGAGTGAGTACTCAGTATCTGAGCAGTTAACGTCAGCCATGCTTTGTCAACTGACATTGTGGTCCCTCCTCCCCACAAAACGTGCCCATTACCTGGGTCAGGAACCAAGAGCGACCCAGTTAGTCCTTTATTAGCCATTCCCCACTCGGCAGCCTGGATAAACTTTACATAGCCCAGGTTAAAACATTTTCACTGAGATCCAAACACTCTGCAAAAAAATAAAAACACCCAGATATAGTTGTATAGCTGGTAAATTGTCTTATACAGAGATATATGTTCCTTGCTTGAGGAAAAAAAAAAAAAATCAAAAGCTGTTACAGACATCCATTCTATAAATAATTCCAACGTCAGGGTGCCTGGGTGGCTCAGTCTGTTAAGCATCCGACTCTTGGTTTCAGCTCAGGTCATGATCTCATGGCTCGTGGGTTCGAGCCCCACAGTGGGCTCTGTGCTGACAACACGGAGCCCGCTTATGATTCTCTCTCCCCCTCTCTCTCTGCCCCTCCTCGGCTCTCTCACTCTCAAAATAAATAAATAAACTTTAAAAACAATAAGTCCAATGTTTAGGACGTGGGGGGTGGGGGGAGTTGGCAGTCTGGGGAGGGACGGACCCGAGAAGACCCAGCAAAGACATCGAGTCTGGAAGAGACCTCCCCATCAAGGGACAGCAGCGATCCCGGAGAACCAGAACCCGTCCAGTGGGAGGGCCACAATATTGAAGGCAGTGATATTTAACTGAGCCAAGGTGAACAGAAACAATGAGAGCAAAAGCCCAGAGGCAAGAAATCCTGCTCTCCAGGAAGAGAGGAGCGTTCTGCTTGGCCAGAGCATTGCAGGCATGAGGAGAAATAAGGAGAATTAAGGTGGGGAAGGCAGCCGCGCAGGGAATAGCTGCGGGTGCTGGTAAGTCACTTCGCTCCCCCCCCCGGCCCCCCTGCCACGTCTCAGTTTTCTCAAATGTAAAAAGGGGGTGCGGTGGGAGTGGGGCACCTGGGTGGCTCAGTGGGTTAAGTGCCCCACTCTTGATCTTGGCCCGCAGTTCTGCAGTTCAGGAGCTCATTGACAGCAGGGAGCCTGCTTCGGATTCTCTTTTCCTCTCTCTGCCCCTCCCCCACTCATGTTCTGTCTCTCTCTCTCTCTCTCTCTCTCTCTCTCTCTCTCCCTCAAAATAAATTAACTTTTAAAAAAATGCAGAATGGGGGAAATCATAGGATCCAATGCTTAGGGAAACTTCAGGGATCCATGAGATCATACCTGCTCTTACGACGGATCCTGGCAGTCAGCACTGGTTGAGTGAGTGCCTCGGGATATATTTAATGTTTTAAATTTTTTAGCTGTGACCCAATACACCAGATGCAGGAACGTGCACTCTGCATCAACTATTAATATTTTAGAGACACCAAAGCGTTAAGTGGAGGCTAGAGGAGCACGTTTCTGGATACACCTCAGAATGAAGCTCTTCCCTGCCAAGTTGTGTCAAGATCTGGATTCCTTGCAAATGTGTCATTGATTAGGAGGCAATTATCCCGGCCTTTCTTGCTTTGCTCCGTTTTGTTCCGTTCTGGCCTGTGCACGTCGGCTCACGTAAAACTGTGCCATCAAGTACATAGCTGCACTCACTGAGCGTGCCACGTTCAAGCCGAGTCTGCAAGGTGGGAGCCTGCTCCCGCCCAAAGTCAGCAGGATATGGTCGCATCAGCTGGACGGTGTGTCCCAAAGTGGGCATCTCCAGGACACCCTGCATGCGGATCACCCCATCTTCCACAAGCTCCTCCTATTCCCAGAGGGTTCTTCTGACTCTTACTCCGTGCAAAAGCCAGTGGGGCGTGTTCAAGGTTACAACGTTGCCATTTGTAC